CTGTGCCCCCCTGGACCCCGCCCTCCGTGGGTCCTGTGCCCCCCTGGACCCCGCCCTCCGTGGGTCCTGTGCCCCCCTGGACCCGCCCTCCGTGGGTCCTGTCCCCCCCTGGACCCGCCCTCCGTGGGTCCTGTGCCCCCCTGGACCCGCCCTCCGTGGGTCCTGTGTCCCCCTGGACCCGCCCTTCGTGGGCACCAGATCACAGCTGTCACTGCTGCTGGCTTTGCCCATGGGTCTCTTGTAGGTGTGAGTGCTCCCTTCTCCACAACACAGGTCTTGTGCTTCCTGCCTGGGGGTGCACTTCCTGCCTGGGGGTGCACTGTGAGGGCCTCGCCCAAGAATCTTTCCCATCAGGGTCATAGCCATCTCCCACACCCCTGCCAGCTCAGGGACTTTACGTCACTGTGGGGCCCTGGGCCGTGGCGAGAGCAGCTCTAGAGCAGGCCATGGGTGGGGTTCAGACCCCACTTTGAGCCCTGACCTGCCAGCATCCTGCACAAGCAGCTTCATCCCCAGGCCTCATGGCCGTTCATGCGCAGGTGGCCGTGAGGAGTCAGGGTCAGTATGAGTCCGCAGGCAGGGCCAGGGCCCCTCTGAGTGAGCTCTGGGTGTGTGTGGCGTGAGGCAGGGCCTCACTTAATTGTTCTCTGTCCGTGGGCCCTTTCCCAGAAACCACACAGTCAGCAACCATTCTTCCCCACTGACATGTCTGGCCGCTTGAAAAGCAGAGCTCTGTTGACGTACCATCGACACCCACGCAACTCCTGGCAGTGCAGTGCGTTTTAGTAGGTATGGGGTCACGCAGCCTTGGTGGCTTAAAACATTTCCATCACCCCAGAACCGCTCCCAAGCCCCTCTGCAGTTGGTCCGCGTCCCCACTCTCAGCCTCTGGTGACCACGGACCTGCCTTCTGTGTCTCTCTGAGCGGAGGCGTGCAGCGTACAGCACAGCCGTTCACACCTGGTGTCTTCATTTAGTGACGTCTTCAGGCATCCGGGCCTTCGTTGTTGTTGGTGGAGGTTATTCTGTCCTGTGGCTCCCTCACGTTTGTTTATCCCTCGTCTGTTGCGGACGCTTGGTGGTTCCAGCATCTGGCTGTTGTGATGCTGCTGCTGTTGGCATTCATGTTTGTAGTGAACATGTTGTTGTTGTTGTTGTTATGTGCTGTCGAGTTGGACCCGACTCACAGCCACCCCTCCTTGGGTTTCCGAGGCGGTATCACTATGGAAGTAGATTGCCCAACTTTTCCTCCTGAGGCGTGGTCTCATTTCTCTTGGGTAGAGACCTAGGAGCGGAATTGCTGGGTCATATGGTGAACAGGATCTTTGACCAGGGGAGGAACTAAAGTGGTGTCTCTCTGTGGTTTGGTTTTGTATTTCCCTAATGGCTAGAATGTCGACCCTCTTATGTGCTTATTAACTATTTCTGTTCTTTCTTCTGTGAAATGTCTGTTCAAATCTTCTGTCCAATTTAAAATTGGAATGTTTGTCTTCTTGAGTTCTAAGGGAGCCTTGTATATTCTAGATAGAAGTCCCTTATCAGATAAAAGATTGGTAACAATTATCTTTTTTTTAATAGTGTGTTTTGAAGTGAAGCCTTAATTATCTAGCGCTGCTGTAGCAGAAACACCACAAGTGGAGGCTTTCACAACAAATTTCTTCTCCCACACTTTAGGAGGCTGGAAGCCTGCAGTCAGCGCCGGCCCTCGGGGAGGGCGTTCTCTCTGTGGGCCCTGGGGAAGTCCCTGTCTCTTCAGCTTCCATTTCCTGGCTCCTCAGGAACCTCCATGTGGCTTGGTGTCTGTGTTCCCCCATCTCTGCTTCCTTGGAGTTGCTTGTTTAATCTCTTTTATATCTCAGAAGAGATGGACTCAGGGCACAACCTACACTGACCCTGCCTCATTAGCACGACAAAGACCGCCTGTTCCAGTGGGACTGTAACCCAGGCACAGAGGTTAGGACTGACAACATATATTTGTGGGGACACAATTCAATCCATAATAATGAAGTTCAGTTAATTGTGTTATTACTACTGTTACCCACGTGTGGCTTGTGCTAGGAACTTTTGCCTAATCCAAAGACATGAGGATGTCCTCTTACGTTTTCTTCTAAGACTTTGGTTGTTTTGGCTCTTAGGTTTAATCTATGATCTCTTCTGAGTCAGGTTTTTTGTGTGGTGTGGGTTGAAGGTCAAA